TTGGTGGATGTCACCTGACTCACAATCAAAACCTGGTACAAAATTGGCGAACCCAGAACCACGTAAAGAATTAGAAAGGCGGCCGCCACTATTTCTGGCTGGGACTGCCCCTTACAAACCTTTATCTACCAAAGGGTTTTGAGGACGTGGCTCACCTTGGCAGCCAAGACCGGACTCCCTTGTCACGCGGCATGGCCAACCTCCCAACCTCACACCGTCCGGATGTGCGGCAAGGCACCTCATCGCTGCGATCCTGCAAAAGGGGTCTGTCTTGGGAACTGAGATGGCCATGGGTCAAAATCCTAATCGTACCCCCAGTGAACATCCCAATCCCCACTAAAATAGACCAAAAAATATGTGGTGCACCTACCCCAAAATGGTACCATTGGTTTTGACCCACAGCCATATCCATGGGTGTTGCAACCGACGCAGCAAGATTGCCGGTTGCCGCAATTAACAAAAAAACGCAGCGGACTGAGCTGCGCATCGGGCTAGAGAATTGGCTGGCGCTCAGGGAATCGGGATTTTGGAAGTGCACCTGAAACGCCAAGGATTCCCTAAGAAATCAGAGGGCGCAGCTTACTTTGGTGTCGTTCCAACTCATTCGCCGAGAACCGACATAAAGATTGGACGGGACAGCACCGTCCTGCACCAGCATGTCCACGCGCCAGTCCCGCTTTGGCCGATCCACTTCAGCCCGCTCCGTCATAACTCTCTCGTCCTGCCCAAGACATTGCCTTTCAACATCTGTTCTTGACATTCCTCAAAAAAAACAGCCGCAAAATGAGGCACAACTGCCGCAGCTTCGATACCCTCCAGCTCAAAAGAGCCTGGTTTTGCTCCACCCCGCCTGGATTCACGGACACGCCAAGAACGTGGTGTTTCTTGCAGGGTGGGCATTTTCCAGCTTGCCAAGCTGAGCCGAAAAGGTAGGTGCGGCGAACGTTGAGACTGACCCACACTCGAAGCGGCCACCCTCTTTCATGAGCCCACGAAACCCTAAAAATTTATATTAGAAAAATATATACAAAAAAAACGAGATTTTTGTAGGTGTTTCATTCATTTAAACTAAAACCTACAGCCTTTGCTTGGAAATCCCTTGAAAATCCCAAGCGCCCGGCAGATCCGGACGCACGGATCTATAGAAGTCGGTGCCCCCAGAAGCTGACCGCGCGCACCCGTGTGTTGTAGCAGGCGGCAAGGTCCGGCACCGAGCCACAGGCAAGAGCCTCACGCTGGGACACGGGATGTGGCCATCGGTCAAAATCCAAATCGTACCCCCAATAAACATCCCAATCCAACCGCTAAAGTAGGCTCTAAAGTGGGTGGTGCACCCACCAACCAAAATGGTACCATTAGTTTTGACCCACAGCCATGTCGCACCACAAAATGAAGCCATGCTTGAAACCAGTTCTTGTTGGTATGTACAGGCGAATCGTCATTCCATGTTTGTTAGGTGGTGCAGAAGTTTGTCCATCCACTGTGTCTGGATCAGAACATCGAAACATCAAATCTCCCCGTGAGCCTCTTGTAATCGCTCCAAGGAGCCCATGTGGCATATGTTATTGCATCCTGAAAACAATCCACCGTGCACTGCGCAGTCACGCCTAGAGGCCTAGAGAAGAGCGAGTGACAACCAAAGAGGAAGACCCGCTGCGAATCTGGCAGCTGACAGTGCCTCCTCGTCGTATGAAAGCGACACCACCCTGGCGGAAAGCTGTTGCACTTAGAATCAAAAGCTGTCGGTGAGTGCAAACCGCGGCCTTGGATCCGAGCCTGCGATTGTACTACTGCCTTCATGGACAAGCTTCTTGCGACGCTCAAAGGCGTCATGCTCCCAACCACGTGTCTTGCTCGCAGTGCTGCGAAGTGTATTGCGGTGCGGTGCGGCGCATTGCTTCCACGTGCTGCTCGTTACATTGCGGTGCGGTGCGTTGTGTTTTTTGTTGCGTGAGCTGTGTTTGCGTCGCTGTTGCTTCTGCTGTTGCTCATGCTGGTGTTGTTTATGGTGATGCTATGAATGTTTAGTAATTAACCATGAGACTGAACTTGATGATGATTATGACGACGATGAGGATGACGATGGCGAAGACGAAAATAACGATGGTTATGATGAAGATAATGATGATGATGATGATGATGATGATGATGATGATGATAATGATGCATGTGCACGCTACGTTCGCTCTTCTTGTATTTGCGGTAGTTGTTGTAGTTGTTGTAGTTGTAGCTATAGTCAAAGTTGTAGTTGTAGTAGTTGTTGTTGTTGCTGTTGCTGCTGTTGTTGTTGTCGACGTCGACGTGGGCATCGACGTGGTTGTTGTTGTTGTCGTTGTCGTTGTGGTTGTTGTGGTTGTTGTGGTTGTTGTGGTTGTTGTGGTTGTTGTTGTTGTCGTCGTCGGTGTGGTTGTGGTTGTGGTTGTGGTTGTGGTTGTGATTGTGGTTGTGGTTGTGGTTGTGGTTGTTGTGGTTGTGGTTGTGGTTGTGGTTGTGGTTGTGG